GCAGGAGCAGGAATACCGGCTGAGCCGAGCCTTTCAGAGGTCCGAAGGGATAAGATGGACCAATTCCAGGCTGCCCATCAACTCAATAATAATGTCAGAAATGCCAAGCCTCTGTCCAAGCATCCCACCAGCAACGGGAGCAAAATCACAGCTGGGGGATCCCGGTGCAAAGGTGAAAGGTGGGAGCAGAGGGGAGAGCAGGATGCTGGTCCTGCTGCGCTGGCCAGGAGGAGGCAGAGCACAGTGCACAACGGGTGGCTCCGTGTCGTGGTTTAAGCCCAGGACACGCAGTCTCCTGCTCCCCCCCCCCCCCCCCCCCCCCGACCTTTCTTCCCCCCCCCAACTCGTGGAGGGATGGGAAGGAGAATGGAAGGAATGTAACTCCCACGGGCTGAGATAAGAGCAGCCCAGTAACTAAGGTATAGCACAAGTCACTGCTGCTGCCACCAATGATAATAAGGGGAATAACACGGGAAGAGAATACAATACCACCCGCTGACTGATACCAATACCTAACGAGACCCAGCACAGAGCTGACTCTTCTGGGTAGCTCTCAGTTACATCCTGGCCATGACGTGCTGTGCTATGGAACACCTTTGGTCAGTTCGGCTCAGGTGTCCTCTCCCTGTTCCTCCCAGCTTCCCCTCCTCCCTGGCAAAGCATGAGGCTCACAAAGTCCTTGGTCAGACTAAACATTAGTGAGCAACAACTAAAACCATCATCGTTATCAGTGCTGGTCCCAGGCTGAAAGTCAAAAACACAGCGCTTCAGCTACTAAGAAGGAGAAAAATGACTGCTACTGCTGATCCCAGGACACTCGGCCTTGCAGGGAGCTGTGGGTGAGGCTATGTGGTCCAAGGACGAATTCAAGTGTGAAAACTCTAACAAGAGAAGGCTAAAACTATCAGCACACGCTCCCCACAGCATCCCCGGAATGAAACGCAGTGCTAAGAGCAAACCAGCTTGCATCGTGGGGTAGCTAAACCAGATAAACACACAAGAAATGCATGGGAATTACCAACCCACAACGGTACTAAGGCATGCACACACACAGATGTAGGATCGCAGCCACTCCTCCCATCAGAGAACACCAGCAAGCACCATTTGAAGGCGACAGAAGCCTTGAAGCCCCATAACATGCTGGTGGATAGAGCAATAAAGCGGGTGCTCAGCATCATCCGTGATTGACCACTTAGTCAGGGGACCTGAGATGCCAAGGCAGAAAGCTGTTGGTGGGCATCACCTACGACCAGGGGACACCAGCACAGCCCCATTAGCAGGGCAATTCACCTAAACCTCCATGTGTGCAGTGCATCTTTGGGGAGGGTTACAGTTAGGGTTAAGGGTTAGGGTTAGCTATGGTTAGGGATAGAGCTAGGAGTTAGGGTAAGGGTTAGGGAGGCCTAAGGAGGGCCCCCCTATAGACCTGGGGAGTCAAGGGGGGGCTCAATACACACGTAGGAGGGTTAAGGAGGGACCCACAGCAGAATCGGGGGGTTAAGGGGTGGACCATGCCATTCCCATGCCTGAGGAACCCTAATGCAGACTGCGGGTTCCCCCCTAGGGCACGAGTGACCCCCGTGGAGCCTGGTGGGTGCCGCAGCCCCCACCCAGATAAGCAGCGGAGCCGGGGTGGGCCCCACTTTGGTCGTTGCCCCTTTAAGGCCACCCGGGGCTCGGCCCTCGCGGAAGGGGCGTGGCCAGGCTGGCGCGGGAAGGGGGCGTTTTCCCGCGGTGTTGGGGGGGGGGGTACGGGAGGAGCGAGCGCGCGGCCATGGCGGTGTTGGGGTACTGGGACATCCGCGGGGTGAGCGCCATGGGGGGGGGCTCTGGGGGTCCCCTGAGTCTTAAAGGGGGGTCCTCATGCAATTAGAGGGGGGCTTTGGGGGTTCCTCCTTGGGGGGGGGCCATGCTCTTGCAGTGGCACCGTGGGGGTCGTCGTGCACTTAATGGGGGGCTCTGGGAGTCCCTCTGCTATTAGAGGGGGGCTATGGTGGGATCTTTGCACTTGGCGTGGGGGGGGGGGGTGCAGGGGTCCCTTGAGTCTGACAGGGGGGGTCCCCATGCACTTGGAGGGGTCCTCTGGGGTTCCTTCTGCGCCCGGAGGGGATTGTGGGAGGCCCCCTGCTCTTGGAGGGGGTTTTGGGGGCCCCCCTGGTTTTGCGGGGGGGGGGGGTCTGGGGTTCCCTTTGCTTGGGGGGGGTTCCCATGCACTTGGGGGGAGCTTTGGGGGTCACCCTGGTTTTGCGGGGGGGGGGGTCTGGGGTTCCCTCTGCTTGGGGGGGGATTCCCATGCACTTAGAGGGGGGGCTCTGTGGTCCCCATGGTCTTGCAGGATGGGCTCTGGGACTCCTTATGCACTTAGGAGGGGGCTCGTGGGGGGGTTGCAGCTCTCCCCAGTCCGTGCCTCAGTTTCCACATGTGGGGGTGTATGTGGGGGGGTCTCATTGATCGCTGCCCCCCCCCCCCAGCTGGCCCACGCCATCCGCCTGCTGCTGGAGTACACAGAGACCCCCTATGAGGACAAGCTCTACAGCTGCGGGGAAGGTAAGTGGGGGCCAGAGGGGGCACATGTCAGCCTCAGGCCTTTGGGTATACATGGGGCTACCCCACACCCCCAAACCCCTCCATGTCCTTCCAGCTCCTGACTATGACAAGAGCCAGTGGATCAATGAGAAGGAGAAACTGGGCCTGGACTTCCCCAATGTAGGTGGTGTTGCTGGGGGGGGGGGTGGTTGGGGGGTGTTTTGGGGGGTGTGGCCTCATGTCCCAGTGGCCCCCCAGCTCCCCTACTTCATCGATGGGAAAGTGAAGCTGACGCAAAGCAACGCCATCCTGCGCTACATCGCCCGCAAGCACAAGATGTGTGAGTGCAGGGATGGGGTGGGATTGGCTTGGACTTGGGTTGGGTTGGGTTGGGATTGGGTTGGGATTGATTTAGAGAGGGGTTGGGCTTGGACTTGGACTTGGGTTGGGTTGGGCTTGGGTTGGGATTGATTTGGAGAGGGGTTGGACTTGGCCTTGGGCTTGGGTTGGGTTGGGATTGACTTGGAGAGGGGTTGGACTTGGCCTTGGGCTTGGGTTGGGTTGGGATTGATTTGGAGAGGGGTTGGACTTGGCCTTGGGCTTGGGTTGGGATTGATTTGGAGAGGGGTTGGGCTTGGCTTTGGACTTCAGCTGGGTTGGGCTTGAGTTGGGTTGGGTTTGACTTAGAGGGGGGTTGGGCTTGGGTTTGGGCTTGGATTGGGTTGGGTTGGATTTGGGTTGAGCTTGGATTGGGATTGACTTGGAGAGGGGTTGGGCTTGGCCTTGGATTTAGGTTGGGTTGGGTTTGGAGTGGGATTGGGCTTGGGTTGAGTTAGGCTTGAAGTGGGGTTGGGTTTGGGTTGGGATTGACTTGGAGAGGGGTTGGACTTGGAGTGGGATTGACTTGGGTTGCGGTTGGCCTTGGCCTTGGAGTTGGGTTTGGGGGTGGGGGCCCCCACGCAGCACTCATGTCCCCCCCATAGGCGGTGAGACGGATGAGGAGATCCTGCGCGTGGACATGCTGGAGAACCAGGTCATGGATTTCCGCATGAGCCTGGTCATGGTCTGCTACAACCCCGACTTCGTGAGTGCCCCCACGGCGCTGGGTGCCCCACGGCGGCGTCCCCGTGTGGGGCAGGGGCTCTCGGTCCCCTGGGGGCTCCTCTCCACCGCTGTGTCCTGCAGGAGAAGCTCAAGCCGGGTTACCTGGAGCAGCTCCCGGGGAAGCTGAAGCTCTTCTCCACCTTCCTGGGGGACAGGAAGTGGTTTGCAGGCGAGAAGGTACAGCCGGGACTCCGGGGGGTGGCCGTGGGTGCTGGGGGGGGGTCTGTCCCCACGCTGGCCCTCACCACAACCCCGTTGTCCCCAGCTCACCTTCGTGGACTTCCTCATGTTCGATGTGCTGGACCAGAACCGCATCTTCGAGCCCAAGTGCCTGGAGCCCTTCAAGAACCTCAAGGACTTCATGGACCGCTTTGGGGTGAGCAGGGACACCCCGGGCATCACCTTTGGACACCCATGGGTTGGGGGTGCCCCACTGGGACATGGTCCTCATGCTGCCTTTGCCCCCCCCTCCATAGGCCCTGGAGAAGGTGGCTGCCTACATGAAGTCCAGCCGCTTCCTGAAGATGCCCATCAACAACAAGATGGCCAAGTGGGGCAACAAGAAGGAGTAGGGGCTCGGTGTGGGGCTAGGAGGGGGGGTGCTCACCTGACCCCTCCCAGCACCCTCATTGGGGGGGGCGGGGGAGTGGGCAGTGCTGATTTGAGGTCCTCCAACACAATAAAGTGCTTTAGTTGTGGCACCCTGAGCCCTCCAAGTGCTGTGGTGTCAGGGTGGGGGGCGCCGGGCTTGTCCCCCCAGCATGGGGGTGAGTGGGGACATCCCTGCCCCATGGCCATTGTCACCCCCTTTGGCATGGGTTGGTCTGGGGGGGCAGAAGCTCAGCCCCGTGGGGTTCCTCATGCACGTAGTGGGGGCTCTCTGGGGGTCCTTATGCCCTTAGAGTGGGGGCTCTGGGGTTCCTTCTGCTCCTGGAGGGGGGGCTGTGGGTGTCCCCGTTGTCTTGTAGGGGGCTATAAGGGTTCCCATGCCCCCACTTTGGGCATTGTTTGGTGGGTGCTGCCCATGATGGGGACCCAGAGGTGTCCCTTGGGTGCTGCTGTGCCTCCCCCCCCCCCTCGCATGGTGCACACCCCACTGCCATCACCCTCTTTATTTCCCATACGAAGCACTTTACACTGTGGGGTGCCCCCCCCTCCCTCCACTTCCCTTGGGGGGGTCCCCAAGAGCCCAGTGGCACAGTGCGGGGGTCCCAGCAGCTTTGTGTCATTGGGGGGGACCTGTCCCCCAAAGAGCGGATGTCAGATTGGGAGGGACACCCCTGGGGGGGTTGGGGTGCCCCCCTCCAGCCCCCCCAATCCTGCAGTGCCTGTGGGGCTCCATCCTGAGGGTGCTCGGGATCCATGGGGGGTCAGTCCGTGGGGCCCATCTGCAGGGAAGGGGAAGGGGTCGGTCTATGCTGGGGGCAATGGGGGAGGGTGCAGGGGGTTATGGGGGATGCAGGGGGGGTATGGGCGGTGCAGGGTTTATGGGAGATGCAGAGGGTTATGGGGGTGCAGGGGGCTGTGGGGGGTACAGGGGTTTATGGGGGATGCTGGGGGCTATGGGGGGTGCAGGGGGTTATGGGGGATGCCGGAGGCTATGGGGGGTGCAGGGGGTTATGAGGGTGCAAGGGGGCTATGGGGGGTGCAGGGGGTTATGGGGGATGCCGGGGGCTATGGGGGTTGCAGGGGGTTATGGGGGTGCAAGGGGGCTATGGGGGATGCCGGGGGCTATGGGGGGTGCAGGGGGTTACGGGGGATGCCGGAGGCTATGGGGGGTGCAGGGGGTTATGAGGGTTGCCGGGGGGCTATGGGGGGGTGCAGGGGGTTATGGGGGTGCAAGGGGGCTATGGGGGATGCCGGGGGCTATGGGGGGTGCAGAGGGTTATGGGGGATGCCGGGGGCTATGGGGGTTGCAGGGGGTTATGGGGGTGCAAGGGGGCTATGGGGGATGCCGGGGGCTATGGGGGGTGCAGGGGGTTACGGGGGATGCCGGAGGCTATGGGGGGTGCAGGGGGTTATGAGGGTTGCCGGGGGGCTATGGGGGGTGCAGGGGGTTATGGGGGTGCAAGGGGGCTATGGGGGATGCCGGGGGCTATGGGGGGTGCAGGGGGTTATGGGGGTGCAGGGGTTTATGGGGGATGCCGGGGGCTGTGGGGGGTGCAGGGGGTTATGGGGGATGCCGGGGGCTGTGGGGGGTGCAGGGGGTTATGGGGGATGCTGGGGGCTGTGGGGGGTGCAGGGGGTTATGGGGGGATGCAGGGGTGCTAGGGGGGGTGCAGGGGGTTATGGGGGGGGTGCAGGGGGTTATGGGGGTGCAGGGGTTTATGCGGGATGCCGGGGGCTGTGGGGGGTGCAGGGGGTTATGGGGGTGCAGGGGTTTATGGGGGATGCCGGCGGCTGTGGGGGGTACAGGGGGTCATGGGGGTTCCCTCACCCCCAGGGTCGCGCGGGCCGAGGACAGCTTGAAGTGGAGGCGCCGCCACTCCTCGGGGCACACGGCGCGGAGCTCGGCAGCGCTCATCTGCAGGAGCTGCTGCCCCCGGAGAGCCCCCAGGCACCGAACAGTGCTGCGGGGACCGGAGGGGAGGGAGGGGGACGGGGGGAGAGGGAGGGGGGGGATGGAGGGAGGGAGGGGGGGAGGGATGAAGGGGGGGGGGGGGAGGGAGGGATGGAAGGAAGGAAGGAAGGAGGGATGAGGGGAAGGATGGAGGGAGGGATGGAGGGAGGGAGGGAGGGGTGGATGGAAGGAGGGAGGGATGAGGGGAGGGATGGAGGGAGGGAGGGATGAGGGGAGGGGAGGGAGGGAGGGAGGGATGAAAGGAAGGAAGAAGGAGAGATGAGGGAAGGGATGGAAGGGATGAGGGGAGGGATGGAGTGAGGGAGGGATGAAGGGAGGGGTGGGTGGAAGGAGGGAGGGATGAGGAGAGGGATGGAGAGAAAGAGGGAGGGATGGAAGGAAGGAAGAAGGACGGATGAGGGGAGGGATGGAAGGAAAGAGGGAGGGATGAGGGGAGGGATGAAGAGAAGGAGGGAGGGATGGAAGGAAGGAAGAAGGAGAGATGAGGGAAGGGATGGAAGGGATGAGGGGAGGGATGGAGAGAAGGAGGGAGGGATGGATGGACAGGCGGATAGACAGAGGGATGGGGGATGCACAGTGAAGGGGTGAGCAGAGCTCGGCCCCCCCCAATGGAGCCCCCACGTTGGTTGCTGGGTGTCAGCTGGGGGGGTCAAGGCTACACCTACATCCGGGAGAAGCCCTTGTCCTGCAGCCAGGCCGTCACCTCGGCGGGGGGGGAGTCGGGGTGCAGGCTGGGGGGGCTGGTCTGGAGCGGGGGACACGGGGTGAGACCCCTGCGCCCCTTCCTGGCGCTGGGAGGGGAACGGGGGGCACCCACCTGGCTGTGCCCCCCCCAGAGGGGCTCCAGGATGTTGCTGGGGACGAAGCCCTTGTCCCCCCGGCCGTCCTGCACCAGCCACCACCTCCTCTGCTGGTCCAGGACCTGGGTGCACGGTGACAATGGGGGACCCTTCCGGCACCCATCATGCAGGGTGCGGGTCCCCATTCCACCCTCCCCAGCAGCACCCATGGTGGGACCCCCTCCTTGGTTCCTACCTGCAGCGTGTCCCCCATCCTGACGCTCAGCTCCTGCGGGTTCCTGCTCTGGAACTCATACAGGACTCGGACCAGCCCCTGCCCAGGGGAGGGAGCCCTGCAGATGGATAGGATGGGGGACCATGAGCATCCATCCAGGGGCTGGCTGATGCCCTCAGCACCCTCAGCACCACTTACGCTTGGCCAGGTTTGTCCCTGCGGCCGGTGCCCGGTGACTGTGCGTTGAGCAGGGAGAAGGGCGAGTGTGGGCTGTGGGATGGGGGCACGGAGGCGGGCGATAGGATGTCCTGGTCCCCTGCACGCTGTACCTGCTCCATGGGGGGGGGCAACCACCCGTCCGAGAAGACGGGGATGTAGCGGGGCACCAGCTCGCTGTCGGGGTACTCTGCCCTGCAGCGGGCACGGGGGGGGGAAGCCGAGTGGGTGCCGTGATCCCCAAACCAAGGCTGGACCCCCCCTAAACCTCGGTGCTGGTGGCGCTGGCCCCCACCTTGTCCTGTTCCAGGCCGTGCCCAGGCTCTTCCATGTGCGGAAGTTGTCGTGGTCCAAGCTCCTCTCCAGCAGCTCCAGCGCTTCGGGCACCAGCAGCGGCGCCTCCACCGATGGGGCCAGGCTGGGGTTGGGGCAATGGGCGAGGACCTGCGGGGATGGGGCTGGAGCAGCACCCCCAGGATGGGGGGGGGGGGGGGGGGGTGACAGCAATCCCCACCCTGTGCACCCCTAGGGGGGGTTTGGGTCCCGCTTTGGGGGCCACTCACAAAGGAGAGGGCGGTGAAGATGAGCCTGAGCAGCTCCTGGGGGTCCGGCTCCCGCACGTGCTGGTGGGTCCGCCCCTGTGTGGAGGGGGTGAGGGTGATCCCACAGAGCCCCCCCCAGCCCCATAGAACCCCTTATTAAGGACGCACCAGGGATGCCCACAAGCCGTGGGGTCACATCCAGCCCTATGGGACCTACCAAGAGGTTAAGGGCGTATTTCACCTTCTGGAAGAAGTCCGTGTAGTCACTCATGGAGGGCAGGGCTGCAGGAGGAAGAAAAGGGGGGGCTGGCACCGGGATGGACCCCCCATCCCCCCCCCCCCCCCCAACGCTGCTCTCCCCTCCAAGCCCTTCCTCATCACCTTTGTTCTTCTTCTTCTTCTTCTTCTTCAGGTCGCTGGTGCTCTCCATGCCCAGGGCTGCCCTCACCCGGTTCATAAAGAGCTCCAGGTCGCTCAGCACATGGTTGAGAACCTCCTATGGGAGCAGGATGAGACCCGGTGGGTGCTGTGGGGAAACACTGGGGTGTCCCCATTGGAGGGGGGAGATGGGACTTACAACATCCCGGTCCACCTCGGACATGACCTGGCTCGAGGGGGTGGTCCGTGGGGTGTCCATCAGCCCTGGGTGAGAGCAGAGGGTCCCAGCTCTGCCCCCCATCACCTCCATTCCTCCCCATGGGGAAACAGAGGCACTGCAGAGCCCCCCCCGACTCACCGTGGTCCAGCCCATGCTGGTCGGACACGGGGGCATCGAGCTTGGGGGTGTTTTCCCATCGGTCTGGGGCCACGGGGGAACCCTGCGAGTACGGGGGGGTTCGGCTGCTCCTGGGCAAGGAGGGATGGGAAAGGGGGAGCTGAGGGGGGGCTGAGGGGAGAAGGAGCCCAGGGATGGGATATGGGGCGGGGGAGAGGGCATGGGGTCATGGGGGGGGGGGAGCTGTGTCCATGAGATGGGGTTGTAGGGGGGTGCTGTGTCCATGGGGATGAGGGTAGATGGAGGCCATGGATGGGATACAGGGGTGTGAGGGGGCATGGTGGTCATGGGGGGGACTGTGCCCGTGGGGAGGGGGTGGGAAGGGGGCTGAGTCTATGGGGATGTGGGGCAGGGATATGAGCCAGGAGCTGGGGTACCGAGGCAAAAGTGGGGGTTCACCCCCCAGGAGGGCAGAGCGGTTCAGCACCCTTTGAGCTTATCCCCTCTCCCCATGGAGACCCCCATGTGGGGGGGGTCAGCTTTGGGGTCACAGGGACGGGGTGGACACCCCCGAGCCCCCCTTACCTGTGCCCATAGAGGCTCCTCTGCTCCTCCTTGCACTGCTTCACCAGCTTCTCCAGGCTGCTCCTCAGCGCCTCTGCCTGCGCAGACCCAGCGCCATCAACCCCAGCACAGCCCGGGGCTGCCCCCCGTTAACCCCCGCCCCATGGTGTGTGCTGGGGGGGGGTCCCAGGGCTCACCCCCGTTCTCTCGCACTGGAAGAGCAGGACGCTGGTGCCGGGGGGGCTCTGCTCCTGCACGGTGATGGCCAGCACGGAGCTGTAGCTGCCGATGGCCGGCGTGGTCCAGCAGCCGTGAACGCTGCCCAGGGGGTAGGCGTCCAGCTCCTCCTGCGGGGGGACACGGGGTGCTCAGCACCCCCCCCCCCCCAGAATGGGCACTGGGGCCAAGGGGGTGCAGGGGCTATAGGGGTGCGATGGGGGATAATGGGGGTGGCAGGGTTAGGGGGGTACAACGGGGGGGATAGGAGGCTTTTGGGGGGCTGTTGGGGGGTGGCTGGGGAAGAGGGGTGAGAGGGGTAGGGGGATGCAAGGGTTGAATATGGTGTTAGAGATGTTGGGGGGCAAATATGGGGATACCAGATGTGTTAGGGATGTTGGCAGGCAAATATAGGGGTACAGAGATAGGGGGATGCCAGATCTGGGGAAGCATCGGATTTAGGGGGTGGAATGTGCCAGGGTGGGTGTCAAGGGCCACACGAGGTGGGTGCTAGGTTGGGGGTGCAGGGGGGTGTTGAAAGGCTGATGTGGGTGCTGGGGTGAAAGGCGGTACTGGGGTTAATGGGGCGCGATGACTGCAGCGGGTGTTGGGGCCAAAGGGGTGCAAAGGGCCATTAGGGGGGTGCTGGGGTTATGGGGATGTCAGAGCTGCTGGGGGACAAGTGGATTTACGGGGGTGCTGGGTGCGGGTGGGTGCTGTGGCCAAGCTGGGTGCCCCGGCCATGGTGGGGGGGGTCCCATCCCTGGGGGTGCCCTGTGCAGGAGGTACCTTGCTCTCCACATCCCTCAGCACCAGCTGCTGGTCCTTGACCTGCAGGATGAGATCCTGCCCCCAGACCCGGCCCTGCGCCTCCAGCGCCCGCAGCCGCGCAACGCAGTCCCAGGCGCTGCGCAGGTCCCCGTCCAGCCGCGCAGTCAGCAGGTGCTGGAGGGGGGGGGACGGACACACACACGGCAATGGGGGTCAGCGGGGGGCACCCCCCACCACCCCCCGGCGCGGTTTGAGGGGGTTTTGGGGGGCTCCCACCTCGACGTGGTGCTGGAAATCGCTCTGGGGCTGGAGCAGGGTCCGGCCGTAGCCCTTGCGCTGGTCTGCAGGGAGGTGTGGGGTGAGCGATGGGGACAGCGTGGGGCCGGGGTTGGGGTGACGGTTTGGGTGCTGCCCGCACTCACTGTAGATGCTTTTCCCGGTGGGGCGGGCGAAGCTGTTGGAGTGGCGCAGGGGGGAGCTGTCCTCGTGCTCCCTCCTAGACGGGACCGATGGAACTTTGTGCCCCACAGCGCGGTCCCCTCTGCCCCACAGCCCCCGGGGTGGTGGTGGTGGGGGGGTCCCCAAGGAGGGGGTACCCGCACCCTCTGGGTACTCACCGCATCGCGGGGCTGCTCCAGCCGCCAAAGGGGTCTCCCATCCTTGGGGGGGGGGGGGGGGAGCGAGGGCGGCTCGATCCTCCCGGGGGGTCCTGAGCTGGGCATGGTCCCCGCGTCACCCCGGGGGTGTCCCCCGCCACCTGCACCCCCCCCTCGGCACGGTGGCATCACCCCAGCCCCCCCCCCCCCCATGGCCCCAGTCCCAGCCCCATGGGGCCCTCGCAGCACCCGGACCCCCCCCGCCGTGCCCCTCGGGGGGGTCCCGCTCTCGGGGTGCCCGCGCTCACCCCAACCCCGGTGCCTCCGGGATCAGCTCTGGGAAGCGCGCCCGGGAGCGTGGCACGGCCCTGACGTCGGCACCGCACCCGCCTGCTCTTTGCTCCCCACGGCATCTGCCCCAAGGCAAAGGGCGGTGACAAAGGGGGGGATGAGCCTTGGTGACGTCCTGGGTGGCAGCACCCAGCCCTGTCCCATAGCACCCAACCCTGTCCTATAGCACCCAGCCCCATCCCATAGCACCCAATTCAGTCCCATAGCACCCAACCCTGTCCCATAGCACCCAACCCTGTCCTATAGCACCCAGCCCCATCCCATAGCACCCAATTCAGTCCCATAGCACCCAATCCTGTCCCATAGCACCCAACCCTGTCCCATAGCACCCAGCCCCATCCCATAGCACCCAGCCCTGTTCCATAGCACCCAGCCCTGTTCCATAGCACCCAACCCTGTCCCATAGCACCCAGCCCCATCCCATAGCACCCAGCCTCGTCCCATAGCACCCAGCCCCATCCCATAGCACCCAATTCAGTCCCATAGCGCCCAATCCTGTCCCATAGCACCCAGCCTCGTCCCATAGCACTCAGCCCCATCCCACAGCACTCAGTTCCTTCCCATAGCACCCAACCCTGTTCCATAGCACCCAGCCCCGTCCCATAGCACCCAACCCCGTCCCATAGCACTCAGCCCCATCCCATAGCACCCATCCCCATCCCATAGCACCCATCCCCGTCCCATAGCACCCAGCCTCGTCCCATAGCACCCAGCCCTGTCGCATAGCACCCAATTCAGTCCCATAGCACCCAATCCTGTTCCATAGCACCCAACCCCGTCCCATAGCACTCAATCCTGTTCCGTAGCACCAAATTCAGTCCCACAGCACCCAATCCTGTTCCATAGCACCCAGCCCCATCCCATAGCGCCCAACCCCATCCCATAGCACCCAGCCCCGTCCCATAGCACCCAATTCTCTCCCATAGCACCCAGCCCCATCCCATAGCACCCAACCCTGTTCCATAGCACCCAGCCCCATCCCATAGCACCCAACCCCGTCCCATAGCACCCAGTCCTGTTCCGTAGCATCAAATTCAGTCTCACAGCACCCAATCCTGTTCCATAGCACCCAGCCCCATCCCATAGACCTCTGGGCCTGGGCCTGGCAGATAAACCTGGGCTCATCCCAAACCCCTGGTGCTGCTGCTGGGACCATTCCATGCTCTTGACCGTGGCACCAGAGCCCGGCCTGGGTTGAAGGGACCTTAAGGTGCTGCAGTTCCAACCCCCTGCCATGGGCAGTCACTCCCAGCCCTGGGTGTCCCCCCCTTCCCCATCCCCATCCCTCGACACCCCCATGAGCATCAGGGACCTCTCTGGCCCTGGTCTTGCCCCCATGGGGGACATGGGATCGCTGCCCCTGGCCTGGGGTCGTATCCATGGCTCTGTCGTCCCCCAGCACCGGGTTTTGGGGTTCATTTGGAGCCTTTTGGCTTCTCTGTGTTGGTCCTTTGGCCTCCTGGGGGGCTGTGATGGACTGTGACCACCGTGTCCCCAAGGAGGATGCAGGGTCCTGTCTGTGCCCCCCCGCTCCCCACAGGCCACCGCACCTGGGCTGACCCATATCTCCATGCTCTTCCCAGACAAACCGGCTCCATCTCGGGGGCACCCCCTCATCCTGCACCTTCGGGGGTGTTTGGGGACCATCGGTGAGCAGGTACGAGCAGAACCGAGGGGGTAAAGGAAACGGGGGGGTGCTGGAAATGTCCCTCAGGAGCCGGGAGGGGGGTGCAGGGCTTGGAGTCGTGCCTCAGTTTCCCCATTGCACGTACGAACAGGGTGCAGTGGCCACCTGCGGCCACCAGGGGACAGTAGATCCCCACATCGCCTCTGGCCCCACAAGTGCGGCTCCCCCCCCATATATAAGGCTCCAGATGTGCAGGGTCCCAGATGTGCCCAGGTCCTGCTGCCACCGCTGACCCCAGCGTGGTCCCTGCCACTGGGGACGCTTATAGGAGCGGACACACACAAGTGGCTGCTGCTTTGTGTGTCCCCCATGGGAGGTTTGGGGTTACAGCACCCCCCAGTAGATATACTGCTGGGGAAGGGAACTGGGGGGGTCCCCTGACATGGTCCCCCTGTTTCCTCCTCCTTAGGGAGAGGGCATCCTTCCTGTGGGAGGGGGGAGGCAGGGGAAGGTCCTCATCCTGCTCCGGAAGGGGTTTAAATGGCATTTGGCATCCATTTAGGGTGCTGGGCGGCTGCAGGGTGCTGCTTCCCACTTCACCCAGTACCATCCCACCACCACGGCGTGCAGGGCTCCCTATGGGGAGCCATGGGGCCGGGAGCCGGGGTGCCGCGGCATCCGCAGCTCGGTGACACTCCGGGTGCCTGGATCCTTCCCGCTGACGGTCCCCAGAGATGGGGGTGCTGGGGGGAGGAAGCGAAGTCCCTGTGACCCCCATTAACACAAGTGAACCCCAATCTGTGCGCCCCGGGGTGCCCGCAGCACCCAGTCCGTGTCCCGGGGTGACCCCGGCGCCCATCGCACTGCCTCGGCCGTGCCTCAGTTTCCCCACCCGCATCCCGCTGCCTCCCCAGGCGTGGCCGCGGCTCTGGGGCTGCGTCAGGCTCCAGGAATCCGGCTCCTTCCCGGCTCTTTAGGGCCCCCGCGGGGGTGGGAGGGCTGCATCCCACCCCCGGCAGCACCCGGGCCCATGGGCACCATTGCGCAGGGACAGGGGGCTCGGCCCTCCCCTTCCCAGCTCCTCCCAGTCACCGCACTGGGTACGCTGGGAAGGGCTGCAGGGACATTGCACAGGGCCCGGCTGGGTTTCTTTCCCACTCGGTGACACCTCCATGTGCCCCCCAGCCCCGGCTGTCCCCTCACCCCTCTCCGGGCTCTGGAAGTCCTCAGGAGCCACCAACCCCTGGGAAGAGCCAGGAAGGGGCTCGGAGCCTTTTCCCACCCCTCCAGCCCCGAGGGATGCTGAAGCCATTTCAGGTTTAGCCACCCCCAGCATCAAACTGGGCTAAAGCAGTGAGTGGATCCCAAAATGCTGTTCTGGGGAGGGAAATGGCCCCATCCTGCACTCCCTTTGGTGCTGCAGAGGGGGGGAACACAACTGGATGCCCTTCACCATTCATCCATCCATCTCTCCATCCATCCATCCCTCCATCCATCCCTCCATCCACCCTTCCATCCATCCCTCCATCCCTCCATCCACCCCTCCATCTATCCCTCCATCCAACCCTCCATCCACCCCTCAATCCACCCCTCCATCCATCCCTCTATCCACCCCTCTATCCATCCCTCCCTCCATCCCTCCCTCCATCCCTCCATCCCTGCACCAGGGCTGCAGGACCAGCTCCTACCCCAGGCCTATGGGGCAGCTCTGGGGGTCCCTGGCACCACAGAGGACACGTGGCTCCCTATGGTGCTGCTCAGAGCGCTTGTGGCTCCGGGTGCTGGGAGCCGGCCAAGGGCACAAACCACCCCACGTCACCGCGGTGCACCCGGACCTGCCACCTACCGCTGGGATGGGTTAACCCCTTGGGGCTGGGAGAGTGTTGGATCAGTCTCCCTGGGCTGGAGGAATGGCATGGAATGGCACAGCACCAGGGTTGGGATGTCCCTCTTGGTGACACCCAAATCCACAAGCTGGTGTCCCATCTAAGCTGCTGTTTTGGGGTGACCCAGGGGAAGAGATGGAGGGATGCTCAGTGATGTCCTGCTGTCACCTGCCTGCCTGTGTCCCCCTTGGTCCATGGCGCATCCCATCCCTGCCTGTGGTTTTAGACCCCTCTCCACTGAATAGGTGGGTGCCTGGGGGATGCTCCCGTGGGTGCTGGACCTGGGTCCCATCCTGGCATGGTCACTGCAGGGAGACATCACAGACCCATGCCCAAGGCAACCGTGGGGTCCCTCTGCTGTGGGGGCCACATCTCACCCTTCACCATTCCCAGAGGCCCCGGCTCGGTGCCGCCACCAAACCCCTTCCTTCCCTGGGAATTCCCTTGGAGTCACCCCAAGAGAGGCACCCCTCAGGGTCCCACCCCCCGCCTGCTGCCAGCAGCTCCATGGCACATCCCGGTCCTTGTTGTTCCGGTTTATCCTGGTTTCAGGACTGCTAAACCCCATCTCTTCAGAGGAACAGGAAGAAATCTCTGGGGCTTTCTGAGCCCCGCGGTGACATCCATGAAGCATTTCCAGAAAGCAGCACCCCAGGAGCTTCCCCCTTGGCTTTTAACCTGCTCCCTTCTCCCATTGCTGGAGGGCCTTGAGCTGTCACCACATCCACAGGCAGGGCAGGAGCCCCGGGACGGCACATCTCATGGAACCATGGAAAGGTTTGGGCTGGAAGGGAAGAGCTTCTGCCCCAGAGCTCAGCTCAGCCTCCCCTCGGGCAGGTTCAAGCCATTCCCCTTGGCCTGGCCCTACATCCCTTGTCCCAAGCCCCTCTCCAGGCTCTCGCAGGTGGTGGGGAATGGGCACAATCCTGCACAGCTCAGCTCCTTTCGCTGGTGGCCGCCCCTGCTCCCCCCATGTCTCATCCCGGCAGCAGAGCCCGGCCGCATCCCCGGGGGAATTCCGGAGGCGCTGGGAGCTGGAAGGGCGCTGGGAGCTGGAAGGGCCCCGGGAGCACATGGGTTTAATTAGAGGTGATGGGAGCAGGTTGCAGCCTGTGTGGGGTGGGTTGGGACAGCCTGGGAAGCGCCGGAGCTGCTGCTTGGG